TTCATTCATTTTTGTCTCACACCTTGAGTCCCTGTGACATGCAGTCCATGGAGTTACAGTGTTTTGCTGCTTTGAACGGAAACTCGACGTACTCTACTGCTTCCATCGCTTGTAACTGCGTCGAAAGGTATTTTGAAATGAGTGCTTCCTTACCTCAGACTCAGAAGCCCAAATTGGAGATACTGTTGTGCTTTTGCAGGATACTAGTAGCTTTAAATGAGGTGAGAGAGAAATGCGTTTTACAGTGTTCTCTTCTTCGAAGGTCCAGTCAAAATCTATCTCCATGTCATTTGCTTAGCCTTTGCTTTTTATTCTTGTACTTTTACTTTTATAGTAAAGTTCATCTCAAATGCCGATTCTGAAAGTTTCCAGAGAGAGCTTCTACGTTAAAAATTTAACTCGTCCTAAAGTTGTGTTTGTCCTCTGGTTCACAGTCAAGCATTTTACGTAGCTTGTGCCTCTGTTCTTTAGGCTTATCGAGTTACCTTACAAGAGTCAGTCTCTTTGAACCACTCGAGTGTTTTTTTCTTACAGATTTTTGGTGAGAATGTCGACTATCTCTCACTTTCAAGGGTAAATTCAGCTTATTACAGTCATCTCGTATAGCGTGGCGATACACTAAAACTTATTTGTGTACGCGGATTTTTAATTAGGCTCATTTATTTGAAATTTTTTCAGTTTTCAGTGGTGAGTGATTTCAGAGATGGAAGTTATGTATCAGACCGAGAGAGCCATGCTTAAAATACTTATAAGCGGCGTGGTCACCTTGCTTTTTACTGCTATTCTCTAAGAGAAGGAGGATTTTTTTTCTCCATTCTGAATGATTTCTTTGTTTGGTTCGTGTTTGTTTCCTTTAGCACTGCGGTAATTTAATGACGGAAGAGGCGGGAATCACACAGACAGCGAACTTGTTGTTGAGAGTAAGTCACGGAATCATGTGAACTATCAAATCTAATTTGTACCTACGCCGCGAAATTCGTGAAAAGTGAGAAGTCGGCCCTATTACTAACCATATAAACTACTCTCGTTGAGCAAAAAAAAAGAGGAAAAAAAGGAAGGTGGAGTGGGTAACGAAATTTACCAATTAATGTTTTGGTGAGAATGGAAGTTGAGCACAACTATTCAGCATCTTTCACTGTTATTCCTTTCCCTAGAGGCTATATTCTTAGCACGGGCTGCCATTTCATGGGGTGCGACAACAAACTGATCATTGAATATAATGTGTAGAGATCTGCAGAATCGCGAGAAGGAAGTGAAAACTTTGATTGAAAAAGAAGATTGGAAGGCTGGAATGAGGAATGTACGGAGTGATATAAAAGATCTTGGATAAACGCGAGTTCTTCAATGTTTTGTATTGCTTGTAGTTCAAGATAACTCATGACAATTCAACAAAAAGAGAGGTGCCAAAATTCTCATTGTATGCCGCTATTGTTTGAACTATTAAACACTATTTCGTTGATCTGGCATTGTTATCTGCAAGATAAAAGTTACTAAATGTTGAGGGTAGTTACAATTATTAAAACATTGAAGAGCCCTCTTTACACCATTTCAAGCTAAAAAATGTACTTTCTGAACAAGAACAAGGATTTGTCGCGGGATTTTAGTGTAATGGTCGGGACGTGGGTAGTTTTGAAACGAACTGTTGACAATAACAATAACGTTTTGATAACTTGAGCGGCAATCTTCATCTGATTTAATGAACAAGCTGTTGTTATTTGATTGTCGATAGCCTGGTTGGTTTTGCGGAGGATCTCAAACGAGACCACCGAGGATGCTTTAGAAAACACTGACCCATAATTGACTTCTCGAATAATCCATCCAGTTGACGTCACATAAATCACCGGTGGTATAAGTTTACAACATATCAGACAGTTTATCTCACAAAAGAAAAAATTAAATGAAAAAAAAAGAAACACTCGACTTTGTCTTTTTTTCGTTTTTCGTTTCTTATTTTTTCGATTATTTTTTTTGTCTCTTAAATAATCAAGTCACTTATTTCGTTTGTAGAATGGATGGACGGAGATGAAAACTGTTATTGGATAAGAGGAATGGAAACTGAGAATGGGAAACGAACAGAGAGAAGTAAAGAACTCGGCTAAACGTGAGTTTTTCAATTTGATGTTTTGCTGGTAAATCAAAGAAATCCATTACAATGTAACTTGGAGAACGAGGAAAAAATCTTTAACGATTTCTAGCATGGATTCAAGCATCATATAATAATGAATTAATGGATAAACACTTTAAGGTGTTGCGTTTGCCTTTCGCCCCTTCTTGCTAAGTTCCAGGAATATTCCAGATAGTAGCAAAAGTTTAAAGACTGCAAAATCAAAGCTATTATAAATTACGTTTTCTTTCGGTAGAAATATTTTCAAACAAATATAGTGCAGTACCGAAGGAATTTAAAAAATCGTAAAACTGGATAAAATGTTTTGAGTTGAGAGGGGATCCTTCTCAACCAAATTGGAAATAGTATTATAATAAAAACTGAAAAGTTAAGCTTAAAATCGCTCAGACGTTACTCGAAAGTTTGTGGTAGAACAAAATGTAGACATAATTTCCATGTGAAATAACTCCATACACGAGGTAGACTGCTAACTTTCGTAAATATTTTCAATCTATCATTATTTATAACTTAATACCGTTTTGAGTCAGAACGTTTTTATAACAAACCTAGACATGGACTGTCTGAGATTGTGCAGAGTGAATGTTTGGCTAAAGGTAGGTCTCTGTGTGGAAAAAAACCGTTTTTTTTTTTTAATTGAAACTATATTCGCTACGAGTCTCTATGGAACAGCGAAGATAACCTAGGAACATGTTGAACTATAATTAGCTTTTTCGAGTTTATCCAGACAAATTGCAATTTCGTACGACATAATAATGTCGCTTGTAAACAAAGCCGAGCCATTCCTTATTAAGTTCAGAGTTAGACTTTCACAACGAGCTAAACTAAAACGTATTTTTCAAAGCGTTTCACTGAGAAATTTGA